ACATGGACAGGCCCACGAGACATACGGCCCACAACAAACCACCCCGAACCCATCGCCTAGGACCAATAGCGTAACCCGGTTGGCAAAACCCAGGACAGCTGGAGACCATTTAGACACGGGGGGCCAATGGTATTCGTGCACATGGCAGGTGAAACACGGGCCACGTCAGCAGACAAAGATCTGCAGAGTTATTACCACAACACATCACCATTAATGCAACCCATCACAGCATTTATTACGACAACACCTCCCCGTCGGAACAGAGCCCCCCCTCACCCTGAACAAGGTAAGCTACGGCACAGGCTTTCGGCGGAAATGGGGCACGTCACAAGGGACAGTGAAATGATTACCAAAGGATATAAGCAACAAGAGAAGCACAAGAAAAAGGTTAAGCTTTTTATCTCTCCATCTTCTTCCCTACATTTTCCTGTTTTTCTCTACTAATTCTCTCGCCGAAGGGTTCACTGGGGGACTGCCCCGTTCCCCTTTGGACTTGCTTGCAGGTCATTTGACGGAATCACCACCCGAAGCCGGAACCTGAAGAACCTGGGCCAGCCTGACCCATCCACCCGGGACGGACTGTATCATCAGATTTTATCCTCAACATTAAAAGAGCAAATATTCCTTATTCACTAATTATATCTTTACCAAAGGAGAAATTATCAATAAGTCCTACTTTTGAGACTTATTATCCATTAAATTCTATTGATAAATTTATCAAGTGATAAATATATCAATCTTTTATTTTTATGAATACATTTATAGTGATAAATTTATCAATCTTTTTATTTGTATGTATAAATTTAAAGTGATAAATTTATCAGTCTCTTATTTTTATAGTGATAAATTTATTAATTAGGACCTATAGGTAAATAAGTCTAGTTAATAGAACTGATTAGTAAGCGCCTCTTTACAAAATTTAATTAAAAAAAAAAAAAAGGGTCCCACCATAAGGGTCCACAGAGTTTAGAATTTTGAGGAAATAACAACACAGTATTATGAAAAAATATATTATTTTAATTATTAAAATATATAAATTGTATTACTGATTTGTAAATAATAAAAAATAAAAATAAAATAAAAAAATTGTTACCACTATAGTGTTATTCTCCCTAGAATCTTTTTATGTTAAATTTTGTAATTGATTTTTAAACACAGTGGGTCTGTTTGGTAACGTTTATGTTTTCAGTTTATATTTACAAAAATTTTATAAACTTATTTTTGTTTATTTTTTTATTTATTTTAGAAAAACATAAACTACAAACGCGTTTGGTAATTGACAAAATGTTTAAAAAAATTTTAAAATATAAAAAAGAGTGAGAAATGGTAAGTGGTGGCAAGTGGCGGCGGAAGACGGTGGTGGAAAGTAGTGACGGTGGGTGGTGGGTAGCGGTGGTGGTTTGGGTGGGTGTGACAGTGGCGGGTGGGTGGGTGACGGTGGCAGGTGGTGGGTGGTAGCGAAGTAGGTGGTGGTAAGTGGCGGGTGGTGTGGCAGGTGGGTTTGCGGATGGCGGGTGCTGGTGGGTGGTAGCGGCGGATAGGTAACGAGTGATGGTGGTGGGTGGGTGGGTGACGACGACGGTGGCGGGTGGGGCGAGTGGGTGGTGGGGTGGCGGTGGCGGTGCGGTGGCGGTGGCGGGTGGTGGTGACAGGGGGGTGGCAGATGGCAGGTGGTGATGGGTGATGGCGAGTGGGTGGTGGTGGCGGGTAAGTGATGGGTGTGGCGGGTAAGTGGTAGGTGGTGATGGTGGGTGGGTGGTGACAGGTGGCGGTGGTAGGTGGTGGTGCAGGTAGGTGGCGGATGACGGTGGTGTGGGTGGTGCGAGTAGGTGGCAGGTGGTAGTAAGGGCGGGTGTGGGTGGTAGTGGTGGGTGGTGGGTGGCTGGTGGTGGCTGGTGGCGGATAGTGGTGGCAGGTGGGTGGTGAGTGGGTGTGCGGGAAGGTGGCAGGTGGGATGGTAATGACTGGTGGTGATGGTGGCGGGTGGATGGTCATGTGGGTGGTGGTGGTGGTAGTGGTGGCGATAGGTGGGTGATGGTTGTAGCGTGAGTGGGGTGGCAGGTGGCTTGGTGGTGGCTGTGGTGGTAGGTGGCTGGTGGTGGCAGGTGGTGGTGGCGGGTGGTGGTGGTGGCGGAAGACGGTGGTATAAAAATGTGGGGTGGTAGCTAGTGTTGGGTGGTAAAAAAAAAAAAAACTCAAAAACTCAAAACGGAAACACATTTTTTGTGTTTTCATTTTTTGGCTAAATTTATAAACTGAGACCACTGATTTATAAATTCAAAAATTTACCAAACAAGTTTTTATTTGAGTTTTTTAAATTTTTATAAATATAAACAGAAAACTGAAAACGTAAGTATTACCAAACGGCACCAATATGTTTCCTTATATTTCATATGGTATTTTTTATTTTTAAAAAATAAATATATATGATACATGTGGATGGTGAAATTATCTCTACAGAAAAATAGCGGAAGATGCACTAACTCCTTGAATCTCAATGTTTTAAAAACCGGACCGGTGAATGAACCGGAAAAATGATTGGGTGGACGGGTCACCGATAATGGTTTTAAAAATCGGACCGGACCGGCCGATTCAACCGGTTGAACCGGTGATCGGATGGGATTCCGGTTATGTAGGTTAAATTTTGATTTTAAAATCACTCCTTTTGTTTTAAAATCACAAGAAAAATCAAAGGCGAAAATCACTCCTGACTTATGTAGGTTGAGAGAACTCTTCAACAAACAAGTCAATATACTAATTGATATATGCAATGGGAAATGAATGTATTAAATGGTGTTTGGGGTTTAGTCTATCCTTACTACTTTACTTGCTTCTCTTTTTAGAGTTGTTAGGATCTCGTGGTGATCATTGATTCCTTTTTTGTTTTGTTTTTTTTGTTTTATTTTGTGTTTTTTTTTTTTTTTTTTTTTGGATCGGAGGTCCTCCTTTTGTCAAAGGTCACTTATACTAGTGGCCAAGTTGCTCTTGTTGTAGATCGTTGGATGAAAGTTGATCGGACGGTTCTTGTTATTGTCAGTACCAGTGTAGGTAGATAGTAGCCCATTTGTCATGTACCTTGTCCATTGGATGGGTATGAATCTGGCGATTAATACTACCTCGAAAGATATTCTTCTAAAAGTACATTTTCTATCTCCATATATGGTGGGCCCAACCTGTTATTTTTCTTGAGTTACACTCTTTTTGTGCCCAATTAACTTTGGGCCTATACCAGTTTAGTCTGAATTCTTTGTTGGTCTTGGCCATTTATTTTTACCTTCCACAATACTTTATCCTACAAACAAACACCCAAAAAAATAAAAATAAAAATAAAAATAATAATAATAATAATAATAGATTATATACGTTTTAGGTGTCGCGCACATTATAGCACATGACATCACGATCCGGAACACAGCTGGAGCAATGAAGCAACAGGCCTTGATTTTGAGAATGGGCTCTGACCTCTTAGTATTCTATCTGTGCAGTTTTGAAGGGTACTAAGGTATCTTTGGTTTGAGTTTGGGAGATGAGTTTTAAAGATAAAAAGTATGAAAAGTTGTTTGGTTTGATTTTTTTCAAAAGATGTTTTGAAAAATTATTTTGAGAGAAAGTTTTGAAAAAAATGATTGATTTGATGTGTATGAGAGAGAGATTTGTTTGGAAAACTTGTAAACCAAACAAGTTTTGAGAAATTTTTTTGAGAAAATTTGTTTGGTTTGATTACTTTTGAAAGCTTATTTGTAGAGAATTTTTCTCAAAAATTTTTGAGAAACACAAACCAAACAAGGCCTAAGAGTCTAAGACACACTCTATGCCCTTTCTCTTCGGCAGTTTTTTAGAGTGCGACATTTACGAAACTATACGAAGATTTGCTTCTTGTAGTCGGCCCCGTAATGCCTCCCTTCATTTGCTTGCCTCATTCTAGCTCAGAACGCCTGATGCCTATTATCTAGTGCGTTAAGCTAACTGCCAGACTTTATTTTTGGAAACTCCGCTTTCGTCTTCTAGAACTGCAATATTTATGCTCGTAGTCCCACTTACAAGACCAACACTATATACTGCACAAGGAAGAATAGACCTTAACCAAAATACTGAAATTTCAATCCACAACTGCAAGGTCATCGCTGCTCCAGATTTGGTACCAATGAAAGCATAGTCAAAACATACCTTGGTCGGCCATGGAAGACGTACTCACCCACAGTCTATACAAATTCTTTTCTTGATACATTAATTGATCCAAACAGGATGGAGACCTTGGAATGCAACTTTTACTTTTAGTACCTTATACTATGGGGAGTACATGAACATCAGTCCTGGCTCGTCCACCACTAATCGGGGTGAATTGGACAGGCTACCATGTCATAATTATCGCCACTGTGGCTTCCCAATTCACAGTGGAGAGCTTCATCTCCAACAATTCATGGTTGCCAAAAACTAGCGTGTCGTTCACACTTGGCCTTTGATTTACGTCTGTATGCATGGTTAAGTTCTTCATGGTAACCCATTTATTTTCTTGCATCAAAATAAGGGTCACAAAAAATAGAATAAAATGTTGTGTAAATATGTGGTAATTGTTAATAATTATTGTTGTATCATTTCTCTAATTTATTTTTTTTTATTTCATTATTTTCATATAGAGTTCTTTCTGTAATTGTCATAAGAATAATGATGATGAGTTTCAATGTTTGTCATTAGTGTCTAACAATTTCTTGTTAATCAAATTTCTATGGTGGTTTTGAACTTCATTGACAATGAGATTATAAATGTCTATTCTATTTTATATATATATATATATATATATTTTATCGGCAAAGAAAATCTTTATTGATGAAAGTATGCAAAAAAGATACAAAACATCAATAAAGAGAAGTTTGGAGCTAATTGAAGCTCCAAGCGCTAGTTGGTGAGAAACCAACAAACAACAGAAAACAAACAGAAAAAAAATGCAACCACGGCTAACAAAAGAAGAGAAATAAAAGACCAACTAAGCTACACCCAAACTACAAAGAAGAGAAGTAGAGCAGACTGCAGATCGGCAAATTGCGCTGAGAATAACCACCATGAGCTGAGCAAACTCCACTAAAATCTGTATGGACCAAAACAACACCAACATCTGTTCAGAAACATAGTGAAATCAGGAAAAGAACCACCAAAAAACCAGCAACTGGGCTTGAAACACCACTGTACTTGAAACACCAATCCACACTATTACTAAATCTGGACAGCAAGAACCATAGGGAGCAGAACCACTGCTGTTGCACGGCCAGGAAGAAATAGATTGAAGCCCAGTGACTACAACAGATAGAGAAACTTGGATCAATTTCCACACTTCAAAATGGAGCAGCACTGCAGACCTTCATCACACAAATTCATAGCACATGCTAATCTGAAATGGAGCACACTGCAGGACTTCACCACACAGATTCACCACACAGATTCAGAGCAATTTCAGCAATTACACTAGGCACCCAGACTAACCAGCATTACACCTCTGCTAACACAGCACATGCTCATAAATCTATACCAGCAGTAAATATTGGAACAGAGTTACACCAATACAGACCATCACAAACACATTTCAGAACACTGGTTGCAGCTAATTCACCCAGCTAATTCACCTAGGCTACCACTACACATCCACAACAGACCCAAGAGCATCAATCAGCAACAAACCCACCCAAGCACCTCCTAATTTGCCTTAGATTAGTAATAAAATCCTGCTCAGAAAAATGAAAATCCCTGAGGTATGGTTTTACCCAATAAGCAATCCTATACTTAATTAACTCACAGAGATCCTCTTCATTTGGTACTTTTGCTCTGAAAACATAGTCATTCCTGCATCTCCAAACTGACCATATCACTGCCAACGGAATTGCCCCCCAAATCATCATTTCTTTCTTCTTTAGCTTCCCCCCTACCCACCACAAGAGAAGACTCTCCACAGTCCATGGCAATGCAGATTGGATATCCCACCACTTTAACATTCTAGCCCAGATCTTCCACACATAGGGACACCAAATGAGGACATGGTTCACTAATTCGCTACCACTGTTACAAAACACACAGGTTGTAGGGTCATTAGGGCTGATCACACCCAATTTTTGTAGGAACTCCCTTATCTTGATTCTCCCTTTCCAAGCAAACCACCCAAGCACCTGCACCTTTGGAGGGACATATTTGAGCCAAGTTAATTTAGTTGTAATTAGGGTGGCACCATCATTACCTACAGCAAACTTTTGCAAATCTGTAACTTTTAGGACCCCATGAGTTGAAGCTGACCAAATAGGTTGATCTGTAACCTCTGCACATACAGCAGGTGCTGCCACCAGAATATTATTAAGCCTACCCAATTCCATCACCTCCTATTCATAAAGTTCTCTTCTAAAAGCAAAGGACCAATCACCTGTTGAGGTCCTCTTATCAACCAAGACTCTCAAGGGCTCCTTTTTTTCCCAAAGATAACCTATAAAAGTTAGAAATTCATCTTTCAAACACACAGATTGACACCAAACATCTGACCAAAACCTGATCCTCTTCCCATCCCCTACTTTTAACTTAAAGTTATGCAAATAATACTCCTTTAAGCTATTGCACTGCTCAGCAACCGAGATAATTCCATTCCAAACTGGTGAGTAACTATTGGAAGGAATTAGAGATGGAATCCAACTAGCCAACTCCAACCTATTTCTACTACAAATTACCTTTCTCCACAAAGTATCTTTTTCACTACCAAACCTCCACCACCACTTTATTAGTAAGCACTTGTTTGCAACCCTCAAATTTCTAATTCCCAAACCACCTTCATCCATACTTTTCAACATGTCCTCCCACTTGATCATATGAATTTTCCTTTTCAATTCAGAGCCACCCCATAAGAAATTAGCTTGAATCTTCTTCAGCTCTTTAGCAACCCCTTCAGGCATCCTAAACAATGACAAATAGAATACTGGCAAAGCTGAAGTTACTGATTTAACAAGAATTAACCTCCCCGCAAAAGATAGCATCTTCCTCTTCCAACCCGCAAGCTTACTTCTCACTTTATCCACTACTGGTTTCCATGTGGCTTTCCTCCTTGGATTAGCTCCTTGTGGTAACCCTAAATAGGTAAGTGGCAAAGATTTTACTTTACAATTTAGGACTGTAGCCATTTCATTGATCACCTCCGTAGAAACACCTACACCACATATAACGCTCTTATGAAAGTTTATTTTCAACCCAGACATGATTTCGAAGCACCTTAGCACCCTTTTCAATTTCCTCACCTCCTCCACTTCTGCTTCACTGAATAAAAGTGAGTCATCCACAAACTGTAAATGAGTTAACACCACATCCTCATAGCCTACTTTTACCCCTTTAATTAGGTTTAGCTCGCAAGCTCTGCTCAACAACATATGTAGACCTTCGGCTACAAGATTGAACAAAAAAGGGGACAGGGGGTCACCTTGCCTTAAGCCCCTTTGAGGGCTAACCTCTTCAGTAGGGGATCCATTGACAAGTACCGATACCCTTGCAGTTGTAACACACTCCTTCATCCAATTAATCCATTTAGCTCCAAACCCAAATTTAGAAAACATATCAAATAGAAAACCCCAATTAATGGAGTCGTATGCTTTTTCAAAGTCCAACTTAATGAGCACACCCTTCTTCTTGGTCTTCTTCCAACCCTCAACAACCTCATTAGCTATTAGCACACCATCTAAAATATTCCTTCCACTTAAGAATGCAGACTAAGGCTCATATAAAGTTTAGTAAATGTTTTCTGAAGTTTCGTCACCATTTTTATGTTTCTTAGAATGCTTATGAAATTGTTGACTACTCACACTTTTTTTTTCTATATTATAATTTTGTTAATTTAAAAGGTTGAATTCATTTTAGAAAAAATTAGTTGAGAATCCCACTTTAGAAATCTATATATCATGAAAACCTTCTCTCTCTTTTTATAGACCGGTAAGTCCTGTTCATTTGGAAACATTTTCTATGAGATCCTATTTAATATATTATTGTGTCACATTAAGACGTTTTTGGCCTTATTGATAGTTGAGCTCTTCTTTTTTTTTTTAGAAATGTGTTACATGTTTCAAACGTGGCTAATAAAACCTTTAGTGTATTTTCTAAATATGGCTAATACAGAACAAATAAAAAAGTCGTTACGTGGCTAATATAGAACAAATAAAAAAGCCCTTAGTATACTTTTTCCAAAGGTGGCTAGTACTTCTTCCAAACATGAAACGTGGCTATTGTATTTTCCAAACCTGGCGCTTAGTGTTTTTTTGCAAACGTGGCTAATACAAAACAAATAAAAAAACCCTTGGTGTACTTTTCCAAACGTGGCTAGTTTATTTTCCAAACATAACTAATACAGTAAACCACATGGGCAAATGTGTCAATTCTCATTCAATGGGACTTGCATGTTCATTAAAATAAAGTTGGGACTAATTGATCTACAAGTTCACTTTTTGGGATTTATAAGTCAATCACCCTTCATTTTACTCCTTGTGGTTTTATTAAGGAACACTTTACCCCTTAAAGCTTAAAAATAGGTAGAAGACCCTCTTATGATTTTGGATTAAAGTACAACACTAACTCTGTTAATGACTAGTACAAAATTACCTTAATACGTGTATGTGATATTCTCTTTTTCTCTTCTTTAATAAACATAATTTCCTATTAGTTACAAATAATTAACAATTTAATTTATTAAGTAATCCTAATTTCTTATCTCATTTTTAACTTTTTCACCCAAGTTCTAATTTAATTACATTTTCAATGAAACACATGCATACATACATATATATATACTCACAGTCACATATTAACGCGTTAATTTATTAATTAACCCTAACTTCTTATCTAATTTTTAAATTTTTAATCCAAATTATAATTTGGTTACATTTCAAATCAAATATATACATACATATGCATTGTAGTGATGGTGACTAGCATAGAGTGGGTGATGGTAGGTGGTTGGGATGGTTATGTGGATGGCTCGACTAGGTGAAGGAAAGGTTGGAGGGGACTGGTCTGAGGACAAAGAGATCACAAGTCAAAGGCGGGGATAGATTGGTTGCAGGGTTACAAAAAAGAAATAAATGAATCACCGAGTTGGTTAGGCTGGGCAGAATAAAGGAGTGGAAATGAGCTGGGAATGAAGGTAAAAGAGGATGTAAGAGTGGCTAGGTTGGCGAAAAGAGGCGACACAAGTGGGCAGTGAATGGAAAGGAGTTTATTTAAGGTAGTTTAAAGGAGGGGAAAGAGGGGTTGGCAGGGCTACTGTACAGGGAAGAAAAATTCGTCGTCCTCTATACGCCTTGTTACCAAGCTTGCCTTACTCCGAATGGACTCCGATTCACTGCGAACAGAGCAAAAGTGAGCTACCTGGCGGGTGGTTTACTGGAAAATCTCTCTGACGATCAAGTTAGTTCACTTAAGGAAGAAGGAGTGCAAAGCACTAGAGAGAGAATGGCTAAAGTTTGTTTACCCTTCTCTAGTTGTCGACATGCACTTTATCTAGGCTGGCCTTACAACCCAAGATTGTGGGCACACTACTTCTATTGTCCTTTGCTAGACACGTGGTTGTACTATCATCTCTCTTCTTTATACGAATGTGTGTCAATACTGCTAAATAGTATTAGCCAAACTGTCAAACGGTATTGAAGCGTACTTAAGGCAGATTCTTCGCTGTAATCTATTGGGCCACGTAGAACGCTCTGCCCAAGCAATCAATTATATTTTCCTCAAATGTGCCAACTCTAAAAGTCTTCTTGCTGAGCTAACCTCTAACCAACTTCCCAACTCAGCCAAAACCATCATGGCATTGTGGAATGTAACTAGATCTTCAACTCGGTCATATGTGCTGGGATTATCCTTGACTTAGTCTGGCTCATGACCGAGACACAGTTCATGGTATGGCTTGGTCCGTGCGCAACCCTATCCAAGCTTGCAGCCCAAACCCAACCTAGCTTGGCTCTCCAAAAGACAAGTGCAACTACATTTCGATCTTACACTAGCCCGGTTCTTGCTTACGGTCTAAACCCTTCCTAGCCCGGCGTAACATCACGGCCCACATAGGTTTAGCTCGGCCAATCATTATAGACCGTGTAGGTTTTAGCTAGGCCCATCATCATGGATCGTGTAAGGTTAGCTCGGACCATTTGTTCAACACAAATTTCCCTCACAATTGCCCCTTAATTTTGTCTACTTTAGCATAACTGGGATTACCTCTCTTTATTGAGCTAAATTTCTGCCCGATTCTTGAGTCTGGCTAACCTAATCCTAGAATTGTTTGACTTTTTCGCCTACCACGTTGACATCTCGTCATATCCTAGACACATGTAATGCCTTCATCAGTTCCATACAACAATCCTAACGTCTGCATGAGTCCCCAAATTTCAAAAATGGGCGCCTTTTCCCTATCGCGATACATATACTCCAAGCCTTTCACTGTTCATCTTCTTTCAAGTATAGGTGTTATCTAATGTTGTTGATTTCATGACTTGCTCGATAATGCTACGATGGGCCATGCCTTTATAGTCGTGCTTGGTTGCTTAGTCCCACCACTTGGAGGATAAATTACTCTTGACGAAGAATAGAATGGTTGACTACGTATCTTGATCTTAGTGATTGGTCAATAGAGTTGTGCAAGCAGAGCTTATTCCAACTCTTTTACTCTTTAACTTAACTAGTGCAATTATCGATCTTTCAACTCAGTTGACATTAATTTGGTTTACTTCATCACCATCTTCGTCATGAGTTATTTCTTGGTCACAACCACTCTACCTTGACGCTTCATGTCATGGGCTCGCCTTTGCTAAGCTTAACTCTAGTGACCTTGCAAACGGACTTTACTAGGCTTGACTCTTGCGACCTTGCAAACAGACCTTGTCAGGCTTAACTCTAGCGACCTTGCAAACGGACCTTGCAAATAAACCATGCAAACAGACCTTGATAGGCTTAACTCTGGCGACCTTGGAAACGTACCTTGTAAATAAACCATGCAAATGGACCTTACAACAAACCTTGATAGGCTTAACTCTGGCGACCTTGCAAACGAACCTTGCTAGACTTAACTCTAGCGACCTTGTAAACGGATCATTCAAACAGACCTTGCAATCAGACCATGCAAATGGACCTTGCAAACAGACTTTTAACAAGTTGGATTGGGCAAATAGTGCTTGGACATTAACCGAATAAACAGAGTTTGGATGTCGACCGTGCAAACGGCATACAAGTGTCAGCCAAAAAAATGATGCATAATGTTGACCTCACAGTATGGACAAATATCAAGTTATTGAAATCGACCCTACAACTTTTCTCCGCCCAATTTGGGCTCATACCTTAAACTTACAAAGGCAAAGTAGTAACCCAGGCTAAATGGATTGCCCCTGGACTGTGTCTACCACTTGGTTAGAATTCTCTTCGACTGAACAAATCATCAGTTTTCTGTCGAAAGTTAGCGAGCAAAATCAGCTCAACAACTTCTTGGCAAGCAAAGTCAGTGTAATTTCTTGGCAAACAAAATCAGCTTAGCTTGGCGACTTACTGACGTCTTTCAAAATCGATCTCCCTACATCTCTTCAATTGATCACTCCTTGAGGACGAACATCTTCAATTGCCGAGCCATTTGGAAAGGTCTACTCTTGAGGAGCCACCCTGACCTGTTCATCAACGTAGCGATCCAAATGCTCTGCAGCCACCAACTCTTCCAAGTGTAGTTTGAACAGCGTGCAATCTTCTATTTAGTGCCCTCTCTCATCATAAAAGGTGCAACGGTATCTCAGATTGAACCCTCTCTAGGTATCCCCTAACTTGGTCTATCACCGGACGTATTCCTTGTCACATACTTCACTTAATATGCGATAGATCGGTATCTTAAAGACCGTAGTGATACCAATCCAAGCTTTTCACTTTCTCTTGGAATCATCCACCGCATCACACAAGTTGTTAGCCCAATCATTGTTACGACCCTTATCTCGGTTGTTGCAATTAACACTATGGTTCTACTCCCTTCCACGGTTGCTTGCACAGTCATCCTCTTGTCCAACTGCATTGACTTTTCCTGCGACTCTTTTGTCCGCCACTACCAGAGTTTTCTTCACAATAGCTACAACCGCATTATCTTCAACTATGATGTGTTTATTAATCTTTTACATCAACAGCTCCATTGTTGTAGGGTTGATTCATTGTAAGCGAATCACTCAGCCTATGTTCGACTGGAAGACCGCACTTGTATTAGGCGATTGACAGGTTGGTAAGACAATCGAGGATCTCGTTGAACATCTCCCAATAGTTGACATTGTATGCCTTTAATGAATCGCTCGGTTCCATTTTCACTCCCAAAAGATGGTCGATTTCCTTAGGCATTTTTGCGTTCATCTTGAATCTAGTGATGAACCCCTCGGCTAACTATTCCCATCTCTTGACGCTTTCCTCCAACAACCTTTCAAACCATTTCAGGCCCATCGATAATGACTAACGTACATATACAGGTCTATCTTCCATCGTAGAGCGAAAATTTTGGCTGGTGGAAACCGGTGAGAAGCGGCGTATTCTCAATCTTAGAGGAGAAAGAGGTAGTCCTCAGTCTTGCCAAGTCTCAGTCTACCTATGCATTCACCACCAAGCGTGGCGATGCTGGTGGCATGGTGATCTTTTCCTTGCGTGAACACTAGGGCCAACTTTTGCATCACTGGCACCTTCGAGGCCTCCTTTCGACGTACTCGCTCCTCCAATACGTCTCTTAGGTCCTCTGAACAAGTGGAGTATGAGTATCCCGACATCGATATCGAACGTGAGGGTCAATAGTTACTGTCCTGAGTATATGACCTCGCCGTCGGCAATACGGAATAGTCGCCTCTATAACTCTTAGTGATGGAAAGTGAGGGTATCTCTCGCCGACTCTAATTGCATAAGAGACAAGATTGAGTGCGCTCACTGTGGTTTTCCACTCTAGCTACGTATTTTCCTTTTAGCTGTTGCTTCATAGCCTTCATCTTCATCGTCATCCTTCAAATGATGGCGTCCTAGTCTCTCAGCTTGTTCTCCAGGTGTTGAGTATGATCATTCACTCTCCGTTGTCAATGCCCTTTAGGGCTCTGTGAGTGTCCAAAACTCCTTGCACGTTTGTCTTGCACATCTTTGTAAGTCCCTCACATGTAGGTCTCAAGAGCAGCCATGGTTGAAATAGCGGGCAAGTCATTGCACCTCCAAACATACTTTGGCGTGATGCCATCTATGGCGGACAATGGAATGTCGTCATTGTTGTTCACCATTGAAGATGATCGATAAATCTTGGAGGACAAGGTTTTGAATGTCAAGATTCCCACAGACGGCGCCAATTATACGAAGGAGAAATATTTGTCGTCCTCGGTACGCCTTGCTACCAAGCTCGCCTTACTACGAATGGGCTTCGATTCACTGTGAACAAAACAGAAGTGAGCTACCTGGTGGATGGTTTGCCGAAAAACCCCTCTGATGGTCAGGTTAGTTTACTTAGAGAGAGAATGGATAAAGTTTGCTTACCCTTCTCTAGTTGTCAACGTGCACTTCATCTAGGCTGGCCTTACAGCCCAAGATTATGTGTGCATTATTTCCGTTGTCTTTTGCTGGACGCGTAGCTATACTACCCTCTCTCTTCTTTAAACGTTTATTCGTCAATACTTCCAAATAATATTGGCCAAACTACCAAACGATATTGATGCATGCTTAAGGCAGATTCCTCGCCATAATCTATTGGGCCACGTGGAACGCTCTACTCAAGCAATCACTTCTATTTTCCTCAAATGTGCCAGCTCTAAAAGTCTTCTTGCCGAGCTAACCTCTAACCGACTTCTCATCTCGGCCAAAACCATCATGGCATTGAAGATCAACCTGTTTGAAGATCTTCAGCTCGATCATATGTGTTGAGCTTATCCCTAACTCAGCCGAGACACAGTTCATGGTATGGCCTGGTCCATGCACAATCCTATCCAAGCTTGCTGCCCAAATCCGGCCTACCTGGGCTCACCGTGAAGACAAGTGTAACTATATTTTGGTCTTACACTAGCCCGGTTCTTACTTACGGCCCAGGCCCTTTCTAGCCCCGTGCAACATCATGGCCCATATGGGTTTAGCTCAGCCCATCATCATGGACCATATAGGATTTAGCTTGGCCCATCATCATGGATCATTTAAGTTTAGCTCGAACCATATGTTCGGTACAAATTCTCCTCACAGCTGCGAAGAAGGGGCTAAGGAGAGTGAAGGCCAAAGGTGGATGGTTTAAAGAATTTGAAGGTTAAGATGAATGGCATATTTGGATAATATGAAGATGAATGGCATATTTGTCATTTAATGTTGTTTTTGTCTTTAATTTTTATTTATTTTTCATTGTCAACCCTCTATTTTGGTGCATGTGGAACAATTTCAGTTATTTTAAAACTTCGCATCTAGTATATAATTGTTAAATATTTTTCAAATTCAATACTTCTTTTTCATTCATCAAATCGTTGAAAAATTTAGATATAAAATTGTACACGTATCATATTATATATATATAGTCATACTTATTTATATTAATTTATAAAGTTATAACACTTGTTTGATGTGAATCAAAAGGTGAAGCTTTGCCATATTTTTTCTAATTGCAAAATTGTCTTAAAATTTGTTTTATTTATTTATTTTTCAACTTGTCTCACATGTATCGTTTTTTTTTTTAAAGTATTTAATTCTCCAATCCCTAAGTCAGTTTTGATAGTGAATATAACTAAAATTTTATTTTGTGTTGCTTGTACACACCTTTTTGTACCACTTGTCTATACTCATTCACTAATTATTATTCATCATACTTTTTCATATTTTTCAATCACCCAACATAAAATCATAATACCACACCTTCTCTATCAATCATAACACTACAAAACACTACATAACCGTACTCCTGAACTACCCAATAATCACCCAAAGGATACACCTAAATTTTGTGGCAGTTAGTTAAGATAGCAACATTATTGACCACAAATATACACTAGATGTGAATATACAAATATCATGCTTGTATATATATTTGTTGTTCAGTCATATAAAAATATGATGCTTGTGTTCATACCCTATATGTGGGTCAACCAAATTCTTATTTTAGTGAAAATTAAGTGACATTTGACTTCAGAAGGCACAAAATCAAATTCTATAATTAAAAAATAAGAACTTTGTAATTTGCTACAATTCTTCACAAGCAATTGATGCTTCTATGAAACTTAAGTCAATATCTTATTAGTGTTATTTAATGTTTTGAGTTCGGTTTCAGGCACTAAACTTTCATTACAGCATATCACGTCAATAACTGAGAAAAGTTTATAAAATTCTGGACAAATTATACTAATGGTACCTATATTTTGATTGTTATGTTATTTCGAACCATATAATTTTAATTAGTTTGATTTTAATTTTAAAATTATGATTTTGTATCTATTGGTCCAATTGATTACAACTGTTAGTATTTTTTTTTTTAAATTGAAAATAAGAACATAAGAGGCATGCATTAGGTTAATTTTTTGGCTTTTTAGCTTTTTAGCTATTTTAGCCTGGGTTAAAATGTTTGGTTTGGGAATGACTTTTTGGCTTTTTAGTTTTTTTGACTTTTTTTGTGAGAGAAGAGTGTAATGATTATGGGTTGGATGTTATGTTTTGTTTGTTGTGGCTAAAATAGCTCATTTTGTCTTTTATGGCTATTTTAGCCACAAACCATCTTGCCAAACGAACCCTAGTGTTATTTAATGTTGTGAGTTCGGTTTCAGGCACTAAACTTTCATTACAGCATATCACGTCAATAACTGAGAAAAGTTTATAAAATTCTGGACAAATTGTACTGATGGTACCTATATTTTGATTGTTATGTTATTTCAAACCATATAATTTTAATTAGTTTGATTTTAATTTTAAAATTATGATTTTGTGTCTATTGATCCAATTGATTACAGCTGTTAGTATTTTTTTTTTTTTTAATTGAAAATAAGAACATAAGAAGCATGCATTATGCTTTTATAAGCAAATTTGTAAATCTGTTCAACTCAGTAAGTTAACCTCAATCAACTCATTGACTATTTTTCTTCAAAAATCATAATCAGCTTTATCATTTGAACCAAATTGATAGAAAATCTAAAATTAAGAGTCAAAATCAAGTTAATTGAAATTATGAAGACTAGATGACATAAGAAGCAAAATGGAAAAATTACAGATATAATTTACCCTAAATTTATTAATTTGTATAGTATTTTCTGTAATGATAATAAGAAAATTATATCATTAATACTAGAAATACATAAACTAAACACATAATGGAGCACAACCCTCCCACAAAGGTGTGTTTGATTTTTGTGTGCATAGCCTATAGACTTACTTGAATTATATTCATTGTTTGGAAATCAACGAAAGGATTAGTAAATGATTTAGAAACTGACACTACAACTCTCTCTTTTTGATAAATTACACTTTGTATCCCTGCACTTTGCACTAAATCTCATTTTGGCCCCTGTACATAAAGTTGTGACAGTCAACCCCTTATATTTATGGTCAAATCTCACTTTGATCCGTAGACATGAAATCATGACAGTCAACTCCTCCACTTTTGGTCAAACCCTACTTTGGTCTCTACACAAGTATCAAATGTCCCCCTTATATTACTCCATTGTTTAAATCTCAAACAGAATCATGTTATGTGACAAGAACGTGACTATAAAAGAGAAAAATCATCCATATTTCCCACTAACACATATTTGTCCTATATGATAAGCATGTAAGAGTTATATAATACAATATGCATATGTTTGTATGTTAAAATTTGAGATAAAGAGGTAAAAAAATAAGGCTTTTGAAATCAAAAAAAGACAACAGAGAAATCAAAAAGCTACCCTTACATTTTTCTATCTGCAAGGAAGAGGAATAGACAAAAAAGTGTGTTACTTTGGAAAACATAATTACGTAATTCCAATTGATGCAAAACCCTAATTCATCTTCTTAATCATTCACAATATGCGCTTTGTTTTAACCTAATACAGCCGTAATTTGATTTAAATTTTGAGACAAAGTGTATATTGATGGAAAATTGAGATGATTTTTCTATCTTATCCTCCTTTCGTAGTCACATTCTTGTTGTATGACTGCATTCTATTAAAGATTTAAATAATTGAGTAATAAAAAGGGTACATTGACACTTGTATAGGTACCAAAATGGGATTTAACTAAAAGTACAGACGTTGATTGTCATGATTTCATATGTAGGAATCAAAGTGAAATTTAAGTAGAAGTGTAAGGGGTTTAACTGTCTTGATTTCATATATAAGGGTCAAAATGAGATTTTATGTAAGATACAGGAATGCAAAGTATAATTTATATATATGTATATATATATTTTAAGATGGTGGATTGACACTTCAATTTTAAGTTTCCTAATTAACAATAAGTTGTATTTTATTTTTTATTTAAAAAAATAAAACTATTTATGTAGAAAATTCATAGATGATGAGAACATTAATTAGAAGAGCTATTTGGAAGACGTATGATATGACAATAGTCAGATGCTCAGTGTCGAGCATAACACTACACCAAGAACAACATCAGCCGATCCTTTGACTGTACATTATAAATTATATAATTAAGATTTTTATATTTTAAGGATAAATTGATTATCAAAGCATTACATGATTGGACATTTCTCAATTGTCCTCTCCAATCTATATTGGATTAGTATAGCAATTCCGGGTTTCGACCCGTTACTTATTGCATTCCGGACTCGAGTTGGTTTAATTTTGAATAGTTATTCATATTTTTTCCCTTGTTTTCCCCTTTATTTTAGTTATCGGGTTGTAGTTGTGCGTTTAGGACAAGTTGGTTGCTTGTTTTTCCAAACCTTTGTTGCCCAGATTTTGGCTATTCCGCTCGAGCGAGCAATCTTGCGCTCAAGCGGGCTTCACAAATTTTGCTCCTTCGCTCGAGTGGCCATTTTTGCGCTCGAGCGAGATTTGCCACTTCTCAGCATTTCTTTTGCAATTCTGAAAATATTGAGAAAGTGCTTTGGACCCTTGAACGTCCAGTCCCAAGCTCGAACGGAGACCCTCGTCTGTAAAACTTCTGGAAATGTATATTCTACGCTCAAGTGCCAACTTTCACACTCAAATGGAACCTTATGTCTGACGCTCGAGCACAGCTTTCCACGCTTGAGCAAACTGCACGTATAATAGTCCGAGAAGATGATATTTTGAATCACTTTCTCATATCTCTCTCTAAAACTCTCCAA